TTTATTTATTATATTTATATCCCATCTTTCCTCCAGGAGCCCCAGATTGATTCACAAAGTAAGACTGTTACAAGATCTAAAATGATGCTTTCATTTTCACTGTTTATTTATTTAATATTATATTCCTCCTTATTTATTTTTTCTAAACAACTCAATGAGGTGAATATACTTAATACCCCTTCCTCCTCTTATTTTCCCCACAACAACCCTATGAGTGGGTTGGGCTGAAAGAGAATGACTAGCTAGCTTCAACTCATACAAGATGAGTAAAGTTATAAAGATGAGTTAATAATAGTATCAGAATCGGAACAGATTGGTAAGAAACTGTAATACTGATAAACACCAGGGAAACATTTTTGGGCATTCTTCTGACACCATTCTTAGAGCCTTATCCTTATTAAATGGAAATGCTTTGAATATTTAAAAAGAAATAGATAATTTTAAATACAATTTTATACTTATGTGGAACTAAGATACTTTTTCAATTACATCTGTAAAGATGCTTCTTCAAGTACATTACAATCCTGTAAATGGTTTATGAAGTCTAAGTCATTAAGAACCTTTAAATGTATGACAAGGAATAAATCTTTGTTAGACAATTGATCAATCCACTAATTTTAGAATATTTAAACTGTTTAAAGTTGACACTAGGAGTACTCCAAATAAAAATATTTCATCATTAAAATTATTTAAAACAAAATTATCTTCCTTTGCCCTACAAAAGAAAAATATTGTTTCATTCCCCCAAAGAATTATTCCATTTTTAAAGAAAACTAGAATTGCCACAAATTGCACTCAACAATTCCAAGGCTTCTTCATTTGACCACTTGAAAATCAAACTTCTCTAAGATTATAAATATAGCTTCTTAAATCTTTGTTATTACATACTGTGTAAGGGGAAAGGGGTCCAATCTTGTGGCCGTAGCGTCGAATGGCCTCTCTGATGTGGGCAGGCTGGATGGCATCACTTTGGGCTTCTGCACCACAAGCTGCAGTACTCTACAGCAACAACATCAACAACAATATAGCTCATTCATTGTTATTAACTCGAAAACACATAACAAGCACGCACTGTGAATTAATTAAGAAAATTGACCTTTCTAGAATTTGTTTATTTCATTTGAAGAGACAATCATTGTCACACCATTCACATTAAAATAAAACTAAACTTCCATAAACAGAGCAAAAAGGAAATGTATCCTAGAATATAAAGTTTACTTATAGATGAAGAACAGGAAGAAAAATAGTGTTTTCCTTTGCAAAAGGGCTATTTTGGAAGCAAGCAACATTGAAGCCATAATTCCATAGGGAACTTAAGAGGAACCTTTGTGCATCAACTGGGGCTTAGGATGGGATTCACTAGATTGACCACTTCTGATACTAAAAGCCAGTTTGTTTTTTTTAGGACAAGAAAGTAGAAACATTCATTGTTTGGTATGATTAACTCTAGCAAAATTCTTCTGGTTTCCCTAAAAGCTAGTCTTTTATTTCTCCTATATGCAATTTTGTGAAAAGTGTACTTGTGAAGCTTTCTTAGTAATTCAAGTGATACCAGTGTTTAGATTTGCCACTTTATACTCATATTATGTGATTCAGTGTGTAAAGTGGATTTGTAATACTTTCAATGATTGCTGAAATGCCCAATGTGTGATGAGAAAATCTATCTTTTCTGATAGTGATAGGGATTCCTAGCTAAATGAGATCTTAAATGAGATCTCAATTTGTGCTTACAAATTCCTGTAGTGTCCCCACATAAATGTGTGCATGTGTGTATGTTTATGTTTGCATCTATAATATCACATTATATACCTATGGTGCCAAGCTAACATACATTTATTCTGCTCAAAGACTACTAACATTTTCTAGAAGAAGCTTTGTTGAGCAATATTTACTATCAGACAGAGATTACTTATCTATGATTCTGGCATTTATACAGTACAGATAATCCTCAATTTACAACAGTTTGTTCATGACCATCCAGTTACAACAGCAATGGAAAAAGTGACTTGTGACTGTTTTTCACATTTAAAAGGTCAAGCGATCAAAATTCACTTGGCAACTAACTTTTATTTATGATGGTTGCATGACTCCAGGGTCATGCATTCATCTTTTGTGACCTTCTGACAAGCAAAGTCAAATGGGAAGAGAGATTCACTTAAAAACTGTATTAGTAAGTTAACAACTGCAATGATTTACTTAGCAATTGTTGCAATAAAGGTTGTA